AGGAATAAAATTTAAGGTTATCCTTAAATAGACTCTATATATTTCTAGATTCTATATAAATCTACTTATAGACGAACCTCTAGATAAGGCTAGATATACTTTTAATATCGAAACGGGTTAAATAAGGTATAAGAAGTCTAGAAAGGAGGTTATAGTAACGAATAGAATATATAGAATAAGGGTAGTTAAATTTAATAATTCTAAACGCTTAGCCCGAGCTCTAGAAATATTAGTATTCTTATTATTATCGCGAGCTTCGAAATCGAACGTTATAAATAAAATAATATAGTACTAGCGGTTAGAACACCTAAATAATAAAGTTCTAAAGTATATTAAAAAACTATTAGACGATATAGAGATCGTCTAGCTAAAAGCTCTAGAAAAGGGCGAACCCGTACCAATCTATTAATCCTATAGAGTATTAAAGTTAAAAAGGTAGATCTTACGCCGTATTCCCGAATTAAGAGTAATAGCTCTGTTCTAACGTCTATACGTTAACCTAATATATATTAAACCCGCTAGATATAACTAGGACCAATAGATAGCTTACTACTTCTACGAAGTAACTAAATAGTACAAAGTAGACTATATAATATTAAAAGGAATAATCTTACGCTCTATTAAGGGTAAGGTTACCTATATTAAGTACTAATTTAGGTACCGAGTTCTTATTATCTAAATTAACGTCGAACGTTCTCTAACTACTAAATTTAGAGACTAGGTAAGGGACGAAGGAATAATAATTAAATACTCGGTAGAGTATATACTCGAGTAAAATAGGCCTATAGAACGCTCTAGCGGGATATTAACCTTACTAACTAGGATACTACGAATAGAAGTAAAGTTCCTTAAGGAAATATAGCCAGAGGTTATCAAAACTACAGCCTATATTACGAATAGGCTGCTAACGTAGTCTTTAGATTAAAAATTACCTCTTTTAAGCCTAATTAAATACCTTAAGAAGAAGGGAACGGATAAGGCTTATATTCTAAAGTTAATATTACTAGCGTATCTATAAGTTATTAGATACAAGGCTTATATTTAAAATCCTAAAGTTACTAGGGGTAAAAAGGTTACTCTACGAGCTTATATTAGGTACCTTACTAGTTATAACTTAACGAATATCTTTAGAATCTAGATACCGCACCTAAGACGTATAATTCGATCTAGAGATATAGTCTTTAATAAGACTAAAATATTTAACTTAGACGAAAAGCCGCTAAGTCTTTAATTACGTAAGAGAACCGAAGAGATAGTAGAATAAATCGATATTATAATAAATAATAGTAATATAGCCTAAATACCTCTAGAAGAGCTAACTCCTATACTTAAGGTATTATAAGCCTAAGTACTACTAGTTCCTAAACCTATACCTTAAGCCCTAGTAGAAAAAGAGCCGTAAGTTAATATAAACCCATAGTTCTAGTTAGAACTAGTTTAAACGTAACTAGTATTACTAGAACTAACTCCTAAGCCGGAGGCTTAATATTAAATAGAAATAGATATTAGATCTAAATAGGAATAAACTCTAATTAAGCCTTAATAGCCTTAATAGCTAGAAGTTCTAATAATAGTACGTCCGTTATTATTAAGGCTAGAATCAATAGTAGACCTATTACTAGAATATATTATTGATTATCTAAAGTAGAGAAAGCCTTCTTGTAGAGTAGCTAGTCTTTATATAGCTTTAGAACCTCCGCTAATATATTTATATATAGTATTCTATATAGGAACCCTACGTCCTTATAAACTAATTAACTAAATAATATCTTACTAGTTTGCTCTACCTCCGCTACTAAAAAACTAGAATAAGATACTTAAATACCCGGGAAAGGACGAATTTATAAAGGTAGCCTAAGTTAAATAGGAAAAGATAAGGGGACGAGGCATATTCTTAAAGGTAATCTAACCTTAAGGTAAGTAAGTATTACCGTTATAATAGGTCTTCGTATATAAATTTAATAGAAACGGCTATTTTAAAAAATATAAAGTACGTCTCTATATAAGGGGAGATATATAGATTATAGGGAACTTAGATACCTACGTAGTAATACTAGCTTCTAGAATAATAAGAGTACTTATCTTAGTAGTTATAGTATTTAGTCTCGAATAGTAGTAGAGAGACGCGGTAAACGCCTTCCTAAATATCTACCTTAACGAAGAAATTTACTATAAGTTCTCTAATAAATTCTAAGAGAACGGATATATTATAAAGCTATATCTAGCCCTATATAGCCTATAAAGGTCTCTATTACTCTAATTAAATACCCTTACTAATATACTCTTAGAACTAGGGCTTAAACCTATTCCTAACGAACCCTACCTTCTAATAGACGGTAAAGTTCTTCTATTCTTCTTTGTAGGTAATATTATTATTATCTAGTAATATAGATATAGTAGATACGCTAAATAGGTTATAAGTAAACTAATAGTAAGATTTAAGATTAAGAGTATTAGGAACGTTAAGTAGTTCCTAAATATTAATATTTAACGAGACAAGAATATAGGAAAAATCTGGTTAAATTAACGAATATATATTAATAAGATTATAGAATGTTATAATCTATAATATATACTTAAGGCCCTAACCCCGTTAGTGAAAAAATAGAAATTAGAACCTTTTAACGGCTAGATAACGTAGAGCTAGATATAAGAGTTCTAATAGAAGATTAGATCTATTCTATATACCGTAATTACTACTAGACTAAATATTGCATTTATAACGAGTAGGCTCGCTTAATTCTTAAAAAATCCTTTACTATTATATACAGTATAGGTTAATAGACTAATCTATTACCTACGAGATACTAAAGACCTATTTATTAAATATACTACTAATTATCTCTATAAATTCTCTAAAAAACGTCAAGTATTTAAAGCCTTAAGTAACGTAGCGTTTATAGACGATAACCTAATAAGATAAAGCTCGGAAGGATACCTTTTTAAGCTATTTAGTAGACCTATTAACTAGAAGGTAACGCTTTAATAAACGGTTATAATATTAATAATAGAAGCTAAACTTACCTCGCTATCGTATACTATAGTCTAGATAATCTAGTAGTAGCGCCTATTTAATTAAGTAAAACTTAATATTAGCCATAGACTGGGGTCGGTACCGGGTCGGGCCGGGTTTTGGCCTTTAAACTACCGACCCGATCGGGTCGGTACTAATAAATTCTTAGCACGGGTCGGGCCGGGCCGGACCGCGTCGAGTCGGGTAAAAAACCCGGGTTTTTAACTTTCTATTACTAATAGTAATATCTTCCTAAATAGGAAGGCTAAGCGAATAAAAATATTATTAGTTAAAAGCTCTATTAATTCTCTATAAAATAAGGCTATTTACGTTTTAAAATTATTAGTATTAGAGGCTCTAGCTTTATATTAAGATATAGTTCTAAAAATAGTATACTTTCTTTAAAATTTAGCTAGAGAGCTTAATTTAAATAGTATTAAACTACTAATAACCTTATTTAATAGAGAATTAATAGAGCTTTCTAAAGATTCTATTTTTATTTACTTAGCTTCCCTATTCAGAGAGTTAGAATATTTTAAGCCTCAACCCGACTCGACGGGCCGGGTTCTAAGCCTTAACCCGGCTCGCCGGGTCGGACCGAGTCTAAAAAAAGCCTAATACCGACTCGACCCGATCGGGTCGGACCGGGCCGGTCCGGGTAAAAAACCCGGACTCGGCCCCAGTCTAATTAGCCAAACGTACGAGATTTACTATAATAATACCTAAATAGTTAGCCTAATAAAGAAGACTACTTAGCTCTTATTAACGAAGCTTAAGTATATTAATATTTATTAGTATTAGCTTAGAGAATATATTTAATACGATAACGTTTATATTAAGTAGATCCTAACTAATTAGATACCTATAGACGGGCTAACTAAGGCTCTAGCGTAATAGTAGTACGAGTAGTTCCTATAGTACCTTAACCTTATTAATAGGAAGCTCGAGTAGAGCCTAATTCGTTTAAATCTATAATAAAAATCGTAACTAGAGTCTATTTAAAATTTCCTATTTAGGACCGGAACGCACGTTTATCTAGCCCCTAATATTAATATCGATACTAGTAAATAATACGGATACCTATATTTACTACTATATTTCTTTCCTTTCTAATATTTAATTTAGCCCTTATTACGCTCTTTTATATAGTTACTAATACCTAAATAGAACTAGTAACTTATCGGCTATATTATTCTAGAAATATATAAAGTCCTAAGTTTAATACCTATCTAGGCTATAAATATATAAAATATAACTAAAAATAGGCTCCGATAAGGAGTAACCTAGAATAAATTAGCTAATATTAACTAGAACTAGTATAGGCGTCTTTCTTTTTACTAAATCCTCTATAGTAGTCCCGAATCCGAAGACTATATAGTCTCTCTTTTTTTTATTAACTAACTATTAAATTCGTTCCTTACTACTAACTTCTAGAATATTCTTACTACTTAAATAGGGCTAATAACTAAGCGATATATCTAAAAAAGGAGGATTCTAAGTTCGAACCTAGTATAATATATAAAATTCGTTAGATTATAATCTAACGTCGCCTAGATTCTCTATAGGGATATAAAGGTAGATACTAGTATCTACGTAGATATCTTTTCTTTTTTTACCTTTTATAATACCTTCCTACTAGTAGTACCTTCCTAATCTAGTAACTATATAGCTTTATTTCCTATTTTTATACGTCTAAATTATTTAATATATCTATTTTAGCTCGTTCGAGCTAGGGGGGTGTATTAAATATTATACTTAATTAGTAACGTAGTTAGATCACGTGCACTACCTCTATTATATCCGGCAGAGACTTACCCCTGTACCTAAGCTCTTCAAGCTCACCAATATACGTACATTTACACCTATATATACGTTCAAACTCATTCAGCCAATCATCATTCGCTGCTCTTGCTCATATTTGACATTTACTTATTGTCCCATAACTCATCTTGTACTTACCACACTCTTCATCCACACTCTCATGATCATGAATATGGTACAAGGTGGCCCTCCAGTCCAGGTAGGAAAGGGTTTTTCTTATTGTGAGTTTTATTATGGAAACGGCGGCTAATGGCTTGTAGTCCAAGGACGCCGTCATCGGGAGGAAGCTCCGCGAGCTTGGGGAGACGCTTTGTTTCTTCGGATTGAATGTATGTTTGCCTCTTGCTTGTCTTCAGCCATCTAATATGGCATAGGACATGGGGGCGTACCTCAAGGAAATAAGCAACTCGCCGAAAAGTGTCACATTGTTCTTCGACATGATTACATCGAAGATTAAGCGTGAAATTCAGCCTCCGATACCTCCTTCAAGAGCAGAGATCTTTGCTACCTTTAAGAAGGACGAGGAAATGTTATCAAAAGAACAAGTTGCTAAACTTGTAAATCTCACAAGCAGTTGGGACACTGACGATGAGAGCCTTGAGGATCTTAAGACTTTGGCGCAAACCTGGCTCTCTACGCCTGCCACCTTTTTCGACACAGACAAGCCTTCTCTCGCTGGGAATGATGGACTGATAGAATTTTGCTTTGACAATGCTAACCATGTTAAAGATACGGGTAGCACGCGTCGAAAGATCGATAATATTCTCTTAGACAATGCCCTCAAGCACAAAGAGGAATATTTGCGTGAGAAATATGTGAATGGTGAGAGCGGTGGCCAAAGGAGGTATAAAACTAATCGTTCTAAAGCAATTGATGAGTTTACCTATCGTTACTTTGGTGACCTTTCGGAGAAAGATAGGAAGACTAAATACCAGAAAATGAAGACACAGCGCATTTCTGGGTCTAAATGGGACCAGATTAAGCCTCGTTGGATGATTCTTGCGTTGAAAGATGCAAAGACAACCTGGTATGTGGAGCGCATTGGCGGTAATCATTATTTTACTGATAGCTTGCAGTTTTGAAACGAAAAAGTTGGAACCTATTGAAGTTTCGGCCCTCAACTCATATATTCCACATTTAAAAGCGCACAAATACGGGAGTATCCTTAAACCAGCGTACTCTAGAATTCTTTCGGAATACAAGCGCCGCTCCCAGCATGAAGATGGAGGAGAGAGTCATGAGGGAGATTACGGCCTTGAATGGATTGATAGCTTGCTGGATTCGGACGACATGCCAAGCAACCCTTTAAGCGGAGTCGAAGGTGTACTCTCCCCTCTTTCTGGGGTTGAAGATAGCAATTTGAGTGCAGGACTCTTAACGCCGTGCACTAGCCCGCAAGGGGATTCTTACGCAGAGTCTGTTGAGTCAACGCCAGCCAACAGCCCGCTATTGACACGGTATCCGGACAATCCGTCGGGATGGAGGGGCATAGAGCAGTCTGACCAGATAGTGGTTGAGTCCCGGCATTCACCCCATCTTGTCACAGATGACGGCTCTAGGCCCAATCAACTGAACCGGAACATAATGGAGAGGGGTTCTGAAATCGATTCTAGCAGGTTCCTCAATCACGATGCTCGGGATGCCGATGCAGCCAATACCCTCTCTCAACTCCACAGTACCTGTGTGATATCCGAAGCCTTGCCTTGCACAGCAAGGGTTTCTATAGAACCTGTCGTCTCTCCATATGAGCAGGGAGTTGGTAGGATATTCGACAAAGAAATCTTTTACAATATCGTGGACTAACCTTCTGATACATAGGAATGGGATTTACGCCCTATGGCATACACAAGAAACGACTGTGTCCGGATAATGAGCTGCAAGATTCCTGCATCCACCCGTCTAGGCGATCTAGGGATGGTGCTTTGAATCTTTTTGACGCAATTGGTAACTTGCCGACTGCAGTTCGATCAATGGGTGAATCCTATGCTTTTAATCCCAGCTATACAAACTCTACACAAAACACATCAGCTTCACTAAGCACCATCGAACCAACAACTGTTCTTATCCCCAATGGAACAAATAATTTTACCATAACTTTGGATGCCCTACAAGGAAGAGCGCACTTGTCTAATGGCGAGCAAGACGCAAGAAGTAAGTACATATGGAACATATATATAACCAAACAAACTAACATTATACTAGTTCAAGCCGCTCTAAATGCTGAGCGAATCGTTGACTATACAGTTATGAACCCTATGCTTTCTTGTCATGATCCGTCGTTTGCAGCTACTCCTAGCCCAGTGCCAATGGTTATGAATCAGGTCATCTATGGTACATACGGTCCGCCATCACCACCAAATCTCCAGGTAATGAATGAGCTTCTCAGGCCGTACGAGCAGCTTATGACATTCCCAGACGTGACGTCATAATAATAAACGCACACTTTTCCCTTATATTTATGTCCACAAAACCCTTGGCCACGAAGATATCCCCCTGGGCTATTTCGTGGGAATGCGCACCTATTTTTTCTGTAGTTGCACTTCCAAAATCGGAGACACGTATAGAAATTACATTGAGTGATTCAAATCGATAAATACCCGGGGGAAATATAATTGTGTCGAAACTCATTTGCGGTAAATTTGGTATTGGAAACTCTTGGTTCTTGAGGTTGATCTTAATTTTGATAGTTAGACTTGAATTTCCGGAGATTGGACATATATCTTACATCTCGTAAATGCTTCACTGTACAGTCTACCACCGCTTTATAGTCCGGAGTCGGTTTAAAAAGTAGCACTTTCATTTTTGCTTTCTCGGGTGTTGTCCCTTTCCCACTACGCTCGTCAGAAGCGAGGGTAGCAGCAGCAGTTTTTATCACGGAGCATATGTCATCCGAGGCTAGGGGTTCTAATATGACTGGGATACATTCTTTCTCAAGCTCTACGATAACCTGCTATAAGTTTAGTTTCATGCCTTAAGAAGGGAAAGCGGGCGCTTCATACCCGGACTTGATTTCGGGTCTGAGACGGGTTAAGTATTTCTCTGCTTGGCTGGCTCATTTTAAACTAACGGGCGCTTTATGTATTCAGTAAACATGTAAACATTTTTTTCTTTTGAGTAAACTGAACGTCGCTGGATGATTTATATCTATGGTTTTACATCACGGAGGGGCTAACTACCCCACGGGTTGATTCAGCACTCACGTGATGGATGACTCAGTTAGATAACCGCCATTCGCTAGCGCATGCATCCAGCTAGCCCTACAATACAGGTTGGCAACTCCGGCAAACGATAGAAGACATAGGTAGGATCCAGCCATAGTGGTTACCAATGGTTCAATACACGCGAGAGAAGCTAATTTCCACCATTAGGGATAAGAATTTGCCGCGGAGGGCTTTGCGCTAGGAGGCAAGCTTTGGCGGAACCTTGTCCAAGGACAACAATGCCTTCGATCAAAATTGAACCAAGAAGCAGGGGATCCGTTCTGGCTGGCTCGCATGGTGAGGCCATGATGAGCCTAAATGTATCACTGGAGAGTTTTTCGATGCATATTCGCCTCGAGGTAGGATCAAGGCATACTGACGCCTCTGTTTGCAGTAATGGCAAGCCTTTGACCGACCAGGGACGACTCATGTTGTCAAGGTAGGTACATCTAAACAACAACTTGAAAGAGAATGAAAGTAAAAGATGAAGGGAGCTGCCTCCATAACCAGCTGAACTAGCGTTTTTATTCTATCTGACCACCAAAAGATATTAATAGTTAGTGTAATTTCCTTCTTAGTGAGGCTGATGAGGCTGAGTAACACGCACGTGACGTGATAAAAGGCGCTTATCACTATCAGGCTTAATACTCCGTGTACAAACTTGAAACCTGTCGGTGGTTAGACGTTTGGTTAAATAACTCTGCAGGCAGAGAGTGAGAGGCTGAGTTTCATGTCTGACAACCCTTTTTTCCCCCTACATTCTCTTTGATTTCTTCATGCCTGGCCCGGGACTGGAATATCTGTTCGTTCGCTGCGGTTATTCACTCTACATTCATTCTACTTGTTCATTTCCAAACTCGGTCATGTTCAACGGAGAGTAACACCTCCAAACACGCCATCTTCTCTTTATAAACTTGGATCTACGGGATCTCAGGGAATTCTTTGAAAAATATATGCCCTTTCTATTTACCAGCCTGCAAGACATCTTAACACCTTACTCCATTGAGCTGCGCTCGTTATAACGATACCATCTACTAGCACTTACCAACACACAACATTCTCTTCTCTCAAAGTGACTGGAAGATGTGGAAGAAGATCCATAAACCTCGAGACTGGGCAAAGCCCCAAGACCAGACTGTCACCGTCTCCGCGAGTGATAAGATACATGCCCTATCTGGATTTGGTCACGGAGGCTATTCGTCTACTTATGGATCAAAAACACCTCAGTCGTGAGTAAATTGTGTCTTCATTTACTCTCTCTCTCAGGATCTAATGGAAGAAAAATGAATAGGAAAATTATAGCATCCGAACCTATACCGAAACCTTCATACCAAGCAGCACATGCACGGAACACCTCGTCGGTTTATTCTCGAGACTCGATGGCGCATCCGCAAAACCATGGCGATTCTTATCACTCTTACTCGGTATACTATTCGGGGTACGGTGATCGTGATGTGTCCCCTCCGGTTTCACCCATCCGTGAACATTACTGTTCATCAAAGGACAGCCAAAATGTTTCTCCTATCGAAGAGCCCACAGACAGCCCTACCATGGATAGATATAGCAACGGAAGTAGCCTTCCTAACCGGGTTGGGTACGCAACTGATGGTATAAAGCCATCGACTACCGAAAATCAACCTTTAACGAAATGGGATGACTATTCAGGTGAACCAGCGAGTGATAACGGTAAATATGCGCAAGTTACTCGAGGAAACTTGGAACTTGAAGGGTATTCTAGGGCCAGTGCGTTTCAGAATTCAAGACTTGATTTGAAGAGTATGGAGTCAAACCCAAGCCGCATGAATGTTCCTAAGACCCGACGCCGAACAGACTCTGATACCTCCGCTTATGACAAACCTCCTCCACCACCTTTAAAAGATGGAGGGTATAGAAGCCGATCTAGTTCACAGCTAGGTGGTGGTAAGCTTGCAACAGCAAGACCATACAACGTTAGAGATAACAAGGCACTTCCAGAGGCACCTAAACCGAGACCGGCAGTTCCTCAAAAAGACAGAGTACCTGCGACAGCGACTCCTGCACCATTGACTATCCCTAACTCAACGTATTCAAGTCTTTTTGATGAATCCTTACAAATCATTCCTGCGTCGGTATCAAGAGAAATTGGCAAGTTTGGTGCGGCTGCTGGGCAGACCAACCAAGAATTAATGAAAGAAAGAGACGGATTAAGTGATACTTTGACGCAACGATTCCGGGGCATGGGACTTTCCCAGGAACCATGTAGCCGCTTCAGCACGACAACATACGCAACGACTGAACCTGGAAGCCCTCCGCCAAACTCAGATGCGTTTGATCAACCGCTGCCAGATATTGGGTCTCGAATGCAACAGTTCTCCGTCAAAAACACCACTCGTAAGCCTACTCCGTCGCAGATGACCACGGTCTCCGAAACTGGAACGTCACCGCAGGCCCAGCCTGAGACAAACATTACTACTCGAATCGAGGATATCAAAGCTAAGCTTGCCGACCTTGCTCGTCGAAAGACGAATATCGACACAATGATCCATGAGTTGACACAGGTTATCCAGCCTAGCTCGATAGCATATGATATGGCAACCAGAAGCGAAGTGAGCAAAACTGTGACAAGCCTAAACAACGAATTAGCGGATATCAAAAAGGAGGAGCATGAGCTTGGGCTAAAATTACTTCGTGCGTACAAGAAGAGAGACAAGGGTGACATATATGCCAACGAACCAACGCTGTGGGTAAAACGGGTTACGAGTTGAGACTATGCACATAATCAAAATCCATAGCGCCAATCGGGAAAATGTATATTTCAACGTATCAGCTTATTATCTAACATCCGTCCAAATCTGTGCAGTACGTACGGGGGTTGTCTGACAACATAGAAAGGATACAAAGTTAAGACTCGACAGGCACTCTAAATATCCCAAGCTAAAGAGTATAATGAAATAAAGCCATGCCAACCTTTCCCAGCCCCGTTTCAAGAAGGAGAAGCGTCAACTCATATGTTCATAATGTAGCGTAAAGGGAAGGCCGCGCTGGTGGTGATCTATCCTTTCGGGTGTGGAAGGCGATCAAAGCCGTGTAGTTGAAGAAAACGTCGCATATGTGATCGTTTATTTCTTTCCGGATTTCTTGATGCCCTGCTGACCGGTGTTCATAGGGCCTTTCTTGCCCTTGGCCATCTCCATGAGTTCCTTCTTGGCCTTTGCGTCTATAACGGTATGTTAGAGCCGTGGAAAAAAGATACCAGAGCCGGTAAAGATGTATCTATAGCATACCGGCTTTCTGTTTTTCTCTGAATGCAAGATCCTCATCGTCAAGCTCCTTTTTCTCCTTCTTTGGGGCCTTGAGGGGCTTGACCTTGCCGCCTGGAGTGGGGTGAAAACTTCTGGTTAGCACAGAGGCATAACAAACACCGGAAGCAAGAGGCTTACCTTCTCGAGATGCACCACCCATAGTTATTTAGTTTGACGGTTGTGTGAAAGTGTTATACAGAGGGAAGTTGTTGTGTATAAAATTTTCTGGTTTGCCGTTGAATTATTGATAAGTTCAAACTGATAAGACACTCTTGGGGGCGCGGAAGGAGGGCGGCTAAGTCCTGTTTAGGCTAAGTGGTAAAACCTTTTTGCCTTCACCTCTTTTTCTCACTTGTTCGACTTTGCCTTAGCACAGTTCTCAACTTCAACGCGACCTCCTTTTATTTTGCACGCTTCACCTGCCGGTTGTTTAACGGCCCCTTCGTCCGTCAAGTCAAGAAGACCTCCTTTTCATCCTAGAAATGCCTCTTGCAAAGTAAGCTGGTTGGAAGTCAGGTTTGCTGGTTCGCTCAAAGCCATCGTCGTTTAGCTGTTCCAGTCTAGAAAAAAAATATCAAGGACAACTTGAAGATTCGTTTGACTAACCGAATCACATTCTGTTTCTTTATAAGCTCGCTTCGATTCTCCATTTGAGCCAACCTTGACGAGTCGGAATTTTGGTTATGGCAGCACGGCGGTCAAGGTCTCCTTCGACCCCATCAGAGGGTGAGATCATCGAGTCAGGCTCAGATACGAAGGCAACTACGTCGCAAACCTCTATTTTTAATGACACCAACGTTGACCGTAAGCTCAGAAACGATGCTTTGCCCCCAAAGTCCCCTGTTTCGAGGACTTATCGTCCTGAACGATCAAGATCCCGTTCGCCATACTACAGATCTTCCAGAGGCGAAAAGCGGAGACGAGATGATTACTATGACTACGATAGAGGCGGCCGTGTGGGCCGTGTAAAGTTTTCAAACGACACATACGATGACGGCTATTATGGTCGCGGGAGCTCTCGCCGACACAATCAACGCTCATACTACGACCACGACAAGAACGACGGCTATGACAGGGATAGCCGAGACTTGCAGTACAGTGACGATTTTGACGGAAGGCCAGAGAAGCGACCGAGAACACGAAGCCGTTCTCCCTACCGGGATACCAGAAAGCAGAAGCAATATTCTGGCGATGAAGCTCCTAATAGGAGCGTCACAGTATCAGGTGGCAAGGCCATGGGCCGTAGACAGGAGGAGATTAAGTTGTCTACAAAACAGTCAGTGAGCGAACGGGGAAATCCCTCAGTTAACGCTCAAACTTGGAGACAAGAGGCTGAAAATGGAGAATCTCAGATGCAACAGAATCCTTCCGATAATAGGCCTAATCCAGATTCTAAGTAAGTGGGCTCATGCTACTCAGGTGTTAACATTCACTTAACCTTATTGCTAACGTTTCTTTTCTAGCCTATCTGTTCAAGGTACAACTGAAGACAGTGAAATGTCGATAGAACCAATTGACGAAGCTACTCTGATTGAACAGCGGCGGAAACGCCGTGAAGCTATCAAGGCTAAGTATCGCGACGCTCCAAAGCCTCTCATAGTCCAGGCTTTGAAGCCTGGAAACCCGTCTGAGTCTATGATAAACGGTTCCGCCAAAATTATATCTAATGCTGATGAAGCAGGTAAGTTTCCCATCACTACATGCCTTAATTAACAACATAACTAACTGGTTATAGTTTCTTCCGCTGCCTCACCTATGGCCACTCCTATTGATACTCCGGGCTCACAGTCACCCGCTAACTTCGAGGTAGCAAAGGATGAAGACCTTGCAAATACAGACTTACGTGACAGGAGCGGAATGAACAAGGAAGAAGCATGTGCTGCCGATTATGATCCAACTTCTGATATGCGGGAGGATAAGAAGAGACATGACAAGCGACACTTTGGGGATGACGTCTCCGCTACTTCTTACGATCAAACTAAGACAGGCCAGCCAGCCACTGCTTTGGCTCAACAAGCAGAAAATCCGAATCCAGCAAAGGTCAAAGACAATTTTGACATGTTCGCTGAAGATGACGATGATATGTTTGCTGAAGAACCCCCTTTGTCAATGACGGCAGGTGGCGGGTTCCAGCGAAGCAGTGCAAAACCTCAAGAGCTCGACATGAGCATGTTGGATAATTGGGATGATCCCGAAGGCTATTATAATGTCATGTTGGGTGAGTTGATCAACGGTCGGTATCACGTCCAGCAAATTTTAGGCAAGGGCATGTTCTCTTCCGTTGTACGCGCTACAGACTCGAAGACAGGAAAATTAGTGGCAGTGAAAATTGTTCGAAACAACGATACCATGCGGAAAGCTGGCATGACGGAAATAGATATCTTACAACTGCTGCAAAATGCAGACCCTGATGACAAGAAACACATCATCAGGTTTGATAGGCATTTTGACCATAAGAATCATTTGTGTATGGTCTTCGAGAACCTCAGCATGAACCTTCGTGAGGTCCTCAAGAAATTTGGTCGAGAAGTCGGTATTAACCTACGTGCTATCCGGGCATATGCCCAGCAAATGTTCCTCGGGTTGAGCCTACTCCGCAAATGCAATATCCTCCACGCAGATATCAAGCCCGACAACCTCCTCGTTAACGAGAATAGAAATATCCTGAAGATATGTGACCTGGGCTCTGCCTCGTTAGCCTCAGAAAATGAGATCACCCCTTATCTTGTCAGTCGATTCTATCGAGCCCCTGAAATTATACTTGGAATACCCTATGATCATAGTTTGGACATCTGGTCAATAGGCTGCACCCTCTTCGAGCTCTATTCAGGGAAGATACTCTTCACAGGGCGCAATAATAATCAGATGCTTCGGTCTATCATGGAATGCCGTGGTAAATTCCCGCCCAAGTTTCTACGACGCGGGACCCTAGCACATCTACACTTTGATGACCTACTCAATTTTCGGAGCTTGGAAGAGGACAAGATTACAGGGCGCATGGTGACCAAGATTCTTGACTTCAAGAAACCTACGCGAGACCTGAAGTCTCGGCTGATTGGCAAAGGCGCAAGACTTGATGATGCAGAGTCTAAGGAGATAATGATGTTCATTGATCTCCTCGACCGGTGTTTGAACCTGAACCCGGAGAAGCGCTGCACTCCTTCAGAGGCACTTCGTCATCCATTCATTTCTAGGAATAACAAAGTTTGAGCTGACTGCGCTGGTGAGAACTGAAGTAAAGTAGGCTCCGGATCTAAGCCATCGAGCTTGATTCACCTGAAGCGATGTGTGAAAAAGCAAAGACACGGAGTATCCGTGTCTCCATAAGATAGAATTATATATATAAGCTACCGTTTTTTCAAATTTTTACAGTTACAACTATCGAATATATACTCCGTACAAGTAGATGGATTTTTGCATGCTACGCCCGTTGAAGGGAGCGTTGAAAGATCATGTGTACAGGCATGCGCCACAGGATCGTCTCCTGACATTTCGTGGCATTCTGGAAGCTTCGTGGCGTAGTCCGGCCGTTTGCACGAACAAGGCCAACGACCCTCTTCTTCTTCAGCTCGCAACGGGTGAAAGGGGCAAGCAGCTCTCCCGACGCATCACCTGACTGCTCACTTTCCAAGGTTCGCCGAAGTGCGATCTAACAAGCTATATGTAGATAACAGCCGAGATACCAGCCGCAATATGGTAAAGCAACTAACCCGAAAACTAGGATACTAGGGATATGCTGGTCTCTGTACGCTTGGCCCGGCTTTGTTGTAAGTATAGTGAGTAGAACACTTACAAGGCTACAGAATTCAGGGACTAATTTACACGTAGCCTTTGCGCATACATATATACATGTTGAAGATGTGCATCTCTATCTTACAAGAAGCTGAGACCGTATTCGCAAGACTCCCTCAACATATAATTCCGCCCATTCAGCTCGGGGGTCCATGTGGAACGAGGGAAGAAGAGCCTGGCACAGCGCATGAATAGCAAAATAATAAAGTCATGCTCCACATCATAGTTGGGCGTCGAGAATAAAAGGCGTTTCAGTTAGCCTAGCAAGTCATTTGCGATATCTCGGGATTCGGCCAACTGCCTCTTGTTTCTTCCTTCGCTTAAAGGGCTTTGCATCTGATGGCGACAGCAGGAAGCGGAGGGTGTTCAAAGGACGATATCCTAGGGGTGAAACGCACGCTTAAGAAAATTAGGTTCCAGATGGATAAAAGGAGTATCCCGGTCAAGCGCCCGGGAAGCCGGAGCAGTTTATAGTACGTTTCAAGAGTACGGGGTAAACTTCATGCCTTAAACCGTTATATCGACCAGGGTTGAAAATCATATAGAAGCACAATGATATGATAAATCATAATTTAGGATCATGAGCTCACAACGGTCCCCAACGCTTTCCGCACGAGAAGAACAAGAGGGTATCGAATTTAAGACGTGGAGATAAATTTAAATTGCAACCACGCGTTTGCAGATGAATATTATCATAATGAGAAAGCAAGGGAAAAGGGAGCTCGGGGAAAGCCCCAAGGTGCTTGATAATTATGTACTCCGTACAAGCGGGGCACCTGGAACCCGGTTTGCGGCATTGGAGCTCATCCGTGAGCTGAGGCCACGGAGATGCGGTACTGAAGCCTTACCGGTAATATATGTCAGGCAGCATGGTAGTATCATTTTTTATTCGGCTTTCCTATCTTCCACGGAAGAGAACGAGTCTAACCCGCCCCGCACGTTCTTATTCACGCTTTGGCATGCAGCAGCCAGTGCCAGCCATGTCTATATCAACAATTTCATGGGTATATTTCGCTTCAGAGCTGACAGTAGTTTGAAGAGGAGATGTGATACGTCCTAAGCCGTGAAACCAAATTCTCAAAACCTCCCCCGTCCAGACAGATCCAATAACGCTATTAGTGACCATAACAATCGCCAGGCAATTATAATGCCTCGGCCTTATGCTCTCAACACGGAACTATTTCTAGTTGCGGTGACTGTTCGCGCATACTATGTACGTTGGGTATACCGAATTGTGGTCGGAAAGAAGGAAATGAATCAAGAAGGGTAAAAAAAGATCCCAAGCCATTGCAAATAGCGTGATATGCAAATATTAATAGTGTCACTCGGTTGCTCAAGCGGATATGCAATGACAAGAAGCCGTTATTGTGTACATGTTACTCCCGACAACGTCTGAAGTGGAAGTTGTTTGCCACTTCGCATGTCGCAAGACATACCACAAAGGGCCCTGCAGCGCTATTAGGAAAGCGAGAGCCTCTGCTACCCATCGTGACACACTTCGGGCACTGTGCTCCGCAGCAAGCTGTGGTTGTGCCGAGCAGGATGTATGAATGCGTACTGAGGAAAGCCGTTTTGTATGACTAGACGCCCTTATCAAAATATCGCAACGTCGCACCGACATGCAAACTAGCAAAAGCTTGGCGACTTTAAGGTGATGCCCTGAGCTTCTTAGCATATCATTTTTTCATCTCTTTTATTGCCAAATAGTATGCAATGCCAAAGGGTGTTGGGAGGTACAACGTGCCATTTGATCGAGCTGACATGATGCCAGGGCTGGAGTGATGGCTGTCGGCGATGGTGGTGCTACTTTTGTCCATTTTCGTATCGAAGACGGCCAGTCGGAGAAATATTATCAACGAGATGAGGTGATACAGGCTGAGCAGATCATTTATTGGCCGTGATCGTTAGTGGGCAAACGGGCGCATTCTGTTCTACGCGAAGAGCTCTCTCTCTCTCTCCCTCTCTTCCATTTCTTTTTGCGACATCTTACGACCACTCAAGAGCAGCCAGCATATTTTCTTCTCTTCTTCTGTCTCCCTCTGCTCCCACAACAGCACATGATATGAGAATCATGATCTTCGCCAGAGAGGTGATAGGCGCGTCGATGAAGAGTTAACTGGCCAAGCACAGAAATAAAGACTGTATATACCCTAGTCGGACAGCGCGCTATTACATACATACTATGTAGTACTTCTGCAAGCTGTGGCCAAGAAGGGGGGGGAGGAGAAAGGCTAAGGAGGATATATCCGAATAGGGAGAGATCGAAAAGAGGGAGCGGCTTATACAAGCCACATCCGCAGAATGATTGCCTTTTTGCTTCCGCCTGCAATGCACGCACCTTCAAGGAGAAGATGGTCACGATAATTGAATGCCTGGCTACACGCAATCTCAACCATGTCTCTGGCTGCGGAAAAGGGCATTCAGAGCTATCAAAACCTATTGTGTGCCCCTTTAAGGTTCGTATCACTGTAGGAATCGTGGCTGGAAGGACTTTTGGATGGGCGGGAGGACTGGTAGGAGGCCCTCACATGCGATATCATTGGACTGACGTGTCACCGTTTGAATAGTGTACTCTGACTATGGGAGGGGGTGGGCGATAAAGCTGATCAGGAGGTGCAGGGAAGCTGGGAGTCGAGGAGCTCGGATCTTTCTCAAGGTACGTTCTTCCTTCAGCCCATGAAGCCCCTCCCAAGGTGGTTATTATCATGATATTAACTTGTGTGGGAAGTTACTCTGTATGCATTCATGGAGATAGGGTTGGTTGCCCATTGGTGTCGCACAGATATATTGCTATCCTGAGTTCCATAACTTCTTTTTCTTTTTCTTTTTTTTTTTTTTTTAATGCCTAATCAGGCGTCGGGAGAAGGGCCTTCCTTGGGCCATAGCCCAGGGCAATCAAAACCGATAGTAGTGTCCCCTATTGGAGTGCCAGTTCGATGGTAAGCTGAAAGTAGGAGAAACCCGAGCCGATATGTTTCTCTTCCTTGGGCTTGGGAATGGGATGAAAAAGCAACTTCACCTTGGACTAGCTTCTAGACAAACAGGCAAACAACAACAAAATAAGAAATTAAAAAGGAGTAGCCTTTTCTGTATGTTAGGATAATAGAATACTACTGTGTATGTATTCCTCCAAGCAGTTAGGAGCTGGATATCAAAGTGTTTCCCCTTCCCTCTGGGAATACGGACGAAACCGAAGCTGTACACACTCCCCACGCATGTCAGATACACTGCTGGGCCTGGAACCGCTCCGTGGCACATCTAATAGAGCAGGTGGCCGTAACTACAACATCCAGCATGCAAAATTGCGCGTCGTGAAAGAAAAACAATCATCTATCCCGTCTAGACTGGGAACGGGCTTGGATTTTTTTTCCTTTGGGCCACCCCCTGACGGCTTTCCCGTTAGAAAAGAAAGGATCAGAAATGTTAACACGGCTCAGGGCACGGAGTAGTTCCTCGAGAATACTTTCTGTCTCAGTCGTACATTAAGGTTGCCTGAATCTGAGTATTGAATGCATATATAATTAAATCTCTTCGAAAAAAGAGAACAGTATTGATGACGAGTCCCGAGAGGCTGGGGGGCTTTATCGAATGTAGAAATGAAACAGCAAAATATTGACATCTCAAATGACCGTGGCTGGGAAGACGGCGGAGTAAACACTGTCTCTGATATTTTTGACGGTGACAAGCATGGTCGCGATGGTTGCTGTTGCTTGCTTTTGAATCTCCAAGGCTGAATAACCCTAAAGACCTCCCGATACCAGGCAGAAATAAAAAGCCTGTACTCCATATACGTATGTATGTAAGTATATTATTATCCCCTTATCTTGATCTGCAGATAAACCTTCTATCTTACCTGCAGTCCTCCGTTGCTGCATTATACAGATATACATAATTACTCTGTACATACTCTGTGCAAAGAGATATATAGATGCCTATGCCGCGGGATGTTTCTTTTTCTCCGTTTGTTAAACACCAATCAACTCTTCCCATTCTTCCGGGTTCAAGACTTTATCTCCAAAGCAGGATCTTACGTATCATGAATCCATGCACATTGTACATACACTTCTGTGTATAATATGCGGCCAAACCTCTAACAAAGCCAAAGGCTGGGGGCCAGTGAGAGCGTGTTGAGCTTACTCTTTTCCTCCATCTTCCCGCCCTTGCTGGCCCAAATCCCCACAACGGGAAGGGCAACAATCGCGCAACAGCCATGGATTCTTCCCTTCCCCAGCGGCCGGGCAAAGAGGCTGGGGAGGTGGAAACGAAAGAAGGAACACAGACGATCAACGTGCAAGCCAACTCGGCTTCCTGGCTTACATATTATCTCGCCCACCTATTAACTATATCAAATTGAATCTTGCGCTTTGATGCAAGGACCCCTTGTTCAGCCATGGGTGGACGGGCTGCATAGAGAGATCCCGAGGTCTAATATCATTCTTTAATTAAATTCTCTACTAAGGATATGGGAATGCGGTATATACGTAAGTAAACATATATACAGAGGGAGTCTGGTAAGGGAGAGAAGATCTCATTATGATGTTGAGAAACCCAGATCCCGTACTAAGTATAGCATCCCCATGCTCTTTTCATTCGACTGGAGAAGTTGGATTCTGGAACAACTTAGTCACATCCTTGCGGAATTTTTCTTTTTGGCTGTTGAATATTGTTCAACTTCATGTGGTGGACAGAGTATCTATACGAGAGTATTTTCTGACATGTATCCATTCAACCTCGCACATGGTTTTCCGTCCAACTAGTCTGAAGCTGTGGCCTGATGTCCACCTTGAAACGCATCGCATGGAAAAAGGATGACAAACACGGCAAGGAAAAGGTTAAAAAAGGGCATATTGGGGCTGAATTCACTGTTTCTCCATGATCTCTCTACCATTCAACCAATCAACTACCCATAAACCGTTTACATCTCAGCTGAAGGGGATTGATAGAAGAACTTGAAGCAGCTGTCAAGGATATATCCCCACGTTTACTTATAGTAATGACGCAGAGGGAAAAAAAGGCCTCAACTTGGCCTTGAAAGGGGAAAAAAGAAATGAACAACGATCCTCCCGCATTCCACCCATTGGGGAGTGATACTCCGTCCTTGAAGATGCAAGGAGGCGCTCCTCAAGCTTCTTAATTTGTTCGCTTAAATAAAAATTATTCATCAGGACACCACCGGACAGGGGAGGACGAAGGAGGAAAAGAACGAGATGCCATTTTCTTTCCTTTCTTTTCCAAAGGGAGGGCCCAACAACTACAACGTAGCCTGGGAGAGGACATGTAACTCTGGAGAACGCCGAAGGAGACGATATACATTGTAAGGGGCGATCGAATGGAACGTTCCAGATACGAAGCCCTTTTTGACCATTACTCCATCAACCAGAAGAAACGAGATCCTTCCAAGGCGGAGAAGTTAGGAGTAAGCATCATGTATGATGTACTCCATCCTGTAGTCAGGGCCGCCCGGATGCTCCGTCGCTACTGGAGACAAATTCTCCGACTCTCTCAAGACTATTCCCATCCGAGACGAGCGTGGCTTTTTCTTCTTCGGATGTGTCTTGGTCCATGGAAAGCGATAACTCACATCATAGGTAGCTGGAGGCAGATCCGGGCCAAACTCCCAGCCGACCCGTGTTCCCTCCCTCTGCTAACGATGTCCATGCTCCATTCTATACAAAGCACAGAGTATATTTTTTTTTGGTTGTTGGACGATGGAAGTAAAGAAAAAGAAGGCCCAGTTCTATTGTTTTTTTTTTTTTTTTTTTTTTTTTTTTATTTTTTTGTTTTTCTTTTTATTGCGTGGCGCGAAGATAAAAGGGAAGAGGACGAAAAGGCGGTGTCAAAAAGGGAAGTTGCCGAAGTTCAACCGGAGCCGAGGCTGGGCAGAAAAGACGTCCGAATTAGGAAGGATGTGGTTAGTAAAGATCACATGATATGCTTATGTAATAGATCAGGGAAGGAAAAGGAGAAACCAACATGAAGAAAAAAGGAAGCGTGGAAAAAAGGAGAGAAGAGCAGAGGAAGAATGAATAACCAGCCATGAGCTAAGACAAGCAGTTGACCCTCCAGCGATAAAATAGTTGCCTGACTTTTCAACGCTTTCCTTACCTCCTGACCACCGCACCCCTGCGAACCGTTACCATCTCAACCTGTATGTCAAGCCCAGTTTGAAATTCGATGAACATTAGTGAGAGTCTAATATAGATAGTTTACAATGCGTGTTATATATATAGACGACTCGAACAGCCAAGTCCATGCACAAACTGGTGGCTGAATAACGTGAGATCAATGCTCGCTGTACTATGTAGAACAACTCTGATGTCTTGTCTCTCTCTAGATCTGCATAATATATTTGAATACTCTGCGATGAGCCACCCAAAGGAGCCAGGTCCCGGATATTTGCCAGCTGGAACTCCGTATACAGATCAGCGGGTCTAGCATTTTGCAAGTGAATGATTTTTTATGCGTGGCGTGCTAAAATTATGCAACTACATATACAGTATGAAGATTTCGTATCCACTGGGAGTTGTGATCATGGGCGATAACTCATGTATATCGTACATTAGTGACCACGCTTCATGCAGCGCTCCTCCGTTCAGGTGTGGACTTTTGATGCTGGAGGCCCAAATGACAGTTAACAGATCAAAGGATGGCTTGCAACTCCTCTTTTTTAGTCTGGGTGACTTGGTCGCGCGAGGGGCCCAAGGAGTCGGTTATTATCACGGAACGAGAACGAGCCTCAGCCCAAGGGCCAGGCTCACCCGTCTAAAGCGCGAACGAACCGTGGTGGTGGTTCGAGTCCAGTGTACGTAAGTATGGGTGTTAGACCAAGCAGGTTTTGGGTCAAGCATATGGTACATCCATACCATCATACATGGTGACTGTGATGTTCAGATGGACAAGACTTAGGCCTGCCCTTTTCAGTCCACCTCCGCCCCATGTTGAGGTACTATCCATGTCCAGGGCTAGGTTCCGTCTTTTCCCCCAGTCCACCATGGATACACAAGATGCAGACGCAGGACAGTGACGGGGTTCAATCCTTCCACGTATTCTGCTGGCTTGGACCTTCAACTTAATTTATGCGAGAAGACTCAAAAGCAACCTAGCAGGGATGGTACCCATATTCAACTAGCGGAACAGAGCCACAATAATGTATGCGTCCTTCTTCGAATGACGCTGAGGTCTCGCCGAAGGGGCCTGCAGCTGGCCTTGCTTTGCCCGTTCTGGGGTTAGCTGGAGACAGCACATCCTATGTTGTATGGATTTAATTCCATAGGTGACAATTTCTTTTTTCTTAGTCAAGGGCTTATCATCGAAGTTCATCGTCTTTGGTTGGTAGGTGTGAGGCCAACTGGCGCGCCTTTTGCCCTGAGACTTTTCTTTTACCCTTGATCACGGAGAATACTGACCGAGCCCATAGAAAAAAAAAGAAAACGGGCACAAGAGGCGACAGGGCTTGGCAGGGATCTTCCTGCTTTGAAGTTTTCTGCCTCTCTGTCTCTGGTCATACGTACGAAGTGCTTGATACGGAGCAAACGAGAAACTAGCCGCGGCCACGGACATGAACTATTCTTTGTTGACTCAACCTGCTGACACAAATAGCCTGCTGGGCCTTTTCTCATAGTGTGTACAGACCGATACGGAGTCTGGAGTATGTACATCTGTTTGTGTGTGTACTGGGCTTCTCCAAGAGGGGGTAGTGTAGCCGCCTAGTGCAGCGAAAGCCCTTCACTTGACGTGATAACTCTTTTCATTGCTAACGATGAAAGTAAATCCCCAGCAAGTCATATCCCAACAACCTGAACAGTGGTTCCTGAATGTCTAGAAGAACAGATTCCCACCTCCCTTTGATCACCGAGATCAGATGAGCATCCCTTCCCGAACTCTCCAATAGCAATCGCCACACTAAACTTCGCATACTATAGTATAATCTCCTAGCCGACAGCGAATAAGGCACAGGGCCAAGTTATTTTGAACTCCTTCCTTCATCTTTGCCAGAGTGGAAGAAGCAAAAAAAGTTTCTTAAAGTGGACAAGCGGATGATGACACCGCCAGAAATAGAAATACGTGTATCGGATTGCATAATAATATGATGAATGATGGTCTCTCAAGGGGATTCTCCGCACGATCCTGGCACTGAAACCAATACCAGGCCGCCAGCCGTGTTCGAAAAAAGGGCCCAAGGTCACCAGTTAGATTTCAGCCCGATCATCCAACATGGTACAGGGGCAGTGTCATGCATGCAAAAAAAAAAAAATTAACAACAATTATATAACAACTATGATATATGAATCAAGTTGCTTTTTTGCAAAAAGTGTCTCCCCCCGATGATGAAATCTACGCAGCAAGGACACACCGCAAGGGAAACAGATCGACTCTTTAATTTTTTATTTTGATTCGTGTCAAGAACATCATCAACATGACCAAGCTTCGAAGGGCACCACCCTAAGAACAAGCCTCCTTCGCTCCCCCCCAATTATCGTTGCCCTTAATCATCCACAGGGCACGCCGAAGCTCCGCAAGCCTCGCACTAACCTGCACGTCGAGTCCCCATCCCATCCATCATCTAAATCAACCACCCCCTTGACCACTCTGCATAGCACTTTGCGGGTCGCTAAAAACTATAGTCGAAAAGAAACCCAGGACGAAGACGCTGGTTCGAAGGTGCCACCTATCATCATGCAAGAAGGCCATCCTAGGCAACTCTCTTTTTGTTCGCTCCCCAATACCAGGCTTCGGCCTTGGGGATGACGGTTATGTTTTGCCTCACACATAGAGTTGTATACACGCACTACAACCATAACCACGCACCAACACACCCGTCTTGCATAATACTTCGAGCTAGGCCAACTGGCCAGCATTAACTTTTGTTTTTCATTTCCATTTTTGCTTTCCCTTGTCGAACTTGTGTTTGCTTTTGGTTTCTTTTTTCTCTCTTCTTCTTTCTCCTCCTTCAACCAGGTTAGACAGATGCTGACATCAGAAGCCCAGGAAAAGCCACGGCTCCACTAAAGAGGTAAATCTCCACGGGCCATACGGCACTGTTCACAGTATCCTGGCTTGCTGTGTCTCGATTTGCCATCTTGCCTGCCGTTTGATTCGTTCCAGAAGACATCGATCTTTGACCTGTTTTGTCCTTTACAGAATCGAAAAAAAAATAAAGGGTCCACGTCAAGAATAGAGAAAATAAAAAATAAAAAAAAAGAACCATGCGAACACCATTCGGCTTCCACCTCTCACTGAGAGATTCTCTAGACAGACATAGCGCTTAGTCAAACTGGGCTCTGAGATCTCTTCCAATTCCGTCGCCCTATGACAGGGCTCGTACGCACCGTTGTCAACAAATCCTGATTCAGCCGAAACATCCTCGGGTGGAGATTTGGACATTACTATGATGTGGACTGGCTAGTTTCATCATAGGCCATCACACTCTCCCAACACCATTGGCTGTGTTAGATTAAGTAACAGTCATAGTCGGCCTCAAACTTCGCATGTACACAAGCTACGACATAATATACGGGAGCATATGTAGGGGCTCAAGAAAGGACAAGAAAAAAAAAAAAAAGATATTTTTCCGCCAATCTCTCGAAAGATGTGCATGATTAGCGCCCTTCTGAGCGAAAGGAGAAAGGGGGAGGGAGGAGAACGATCTTTTTCGCTTCTCTGCTGCTCTCACCATGCATCACCATGCAGCCACTGCATTGACCCGCCATCTCCCTTGGACCAGGGGGGAGGAAGGGTGGAAGAGAGTGTGTGGAAGACCCACGCCCCAGGCTTGCTTCGAGTGCAATATCGCTCGCGCTGTCTTGCTCCTGCGAGGAGGGAGGGCGCAGGCTAGTCATTGGCGGACGCCTTGCAGGTTTGCTTTTTCCTGTTACACCTTCATCTATCTCTCTCCCACTCTTCTAGTTTTTTTCTCTTTTTTTTCTTTTTCTTTTTTTTTTTTTTTTTTGCAACAGGTGTGACCCATGGACCATCTGGCAGTGGCGTTCCCTTTCGCTCGTCCCCCATGGAGCCTGGTCCGCCTTGTTTCTCACGGAGCTAAGCTGCGTGAAGGACCGTCTTGCGCCAATCATGCTGCATCTCCATCTTTAATCCGAAGCCGCTTGCGGTACCCTCAGATAATAGGTATTTCCCGCCACCACCTGCCTGCCCCCAGCATTAAGAAGAGGGTGACGATTTCACTTCCCCCTACTAGGCCCGCTGTTCTCTCGGCATTTCTATCTTCCTCCGATATATGTACCTATCCATGTTCGACACTGATCATTCATCTATATCCTTCCCGTCTCGCCCTTTCGCACCTCCCAAGCTTACCCCATTCTCCCCTTGCACGTTCCTTTTCCTGTTATCATTTCTTGAACACGGTCCTTTAAACCCAAATCTCTCTCCCTATTTCTCTCCCCTTCCACGACCGTCACCTTTGCCCTTTCTTTGACTTGGCCAGCTGTCTTCCGGTCCATATCGCCTCCGCTTCGCCTTGATTCAAAAATACCCGTCTCTGCCGTTTACCCTTTTTCGCCTCATCAACCTGTTCTGGACCTCTTAGCCTTCCAAACCACAAGGACTAAAACCTTCCAAAACCCTACTTAGCCGCATAACATATATACCTTTTTTTTTATCTTTGTTTCGTGCCTATATTATCCTGCCTTCTCCCCCAAGCTTGAAAACGGGCTAAATGGACTCCTGAGCCATAAGGAATCTCACCCCCTACTCTCTCTCTTGATACATCCTTTCTCTTGGGGGTTCTTGTGTTGAAAAAAAGGGTAGCTGCTGTTTCTACTTGGTGCTATTTTTTTGGACCACAAACTGCCAGCTTGGACTTTGGAATACCCCCTTCCTTAATTTATTTTCCCGTCCTTAATTGCCATCAACAACCAGACATACTCTTCTGCCTTTCAGGTATATCAGGCCATGCATCTCCCAACCCCACCGCAGTCACCCCAACCAGTTTCCTATTGCGATGCTCCGGAGGACAAGCTTGGGCTACTTCTAGCCAATCGACTAGAGCTCACTGGTATACTGGGAGTAGGTGCATATGGAGTGGTATATTCCGCCATCGACATCCAGACAAACATTCCATATGCCGTCAAGGCATTGAACAAGGCCGGTCTGGATCCCAGACAACGAAAGTTCCAGCAACGGGAAATCAAACTACATCATATGGCCAGCCATCACCCCAACGTTGTTTCTTTGGTCCGCATCATGGATTCCCATGATTGTACTTATGTTGTCATCGAATTCTGCCCAGAGGGGGATCTGTTTTCCAATATTACCGAACGTGGCCACTTTGTAGGCAATGACTTCCTAGCAAAGCGAGCTTTTCTCCAGATTTTGGATGCCGTTGAGTTCTGTCACAGTATTGGAATCTACCACCGGGACCTAAAGCCGGAAAACATCCTGGTGTCAGACCGTGGTATGAACGTTAAACTTGCAGACTTCGGCCTTGCTACGACAGATGCCTACACCACGGACTTTGGCTGTGGTTCTACCTTCTACATGTCTCCTGGTATGTTCCTCCAACTACAGCTAAAACTTACACTTCTAGTCACGGTAGCCTAACAGTTTGGGAATAGAGTGTCTACAATCTACGCCATCCGCTTATGCGTCCGCACCCAACGATGTTTGGAGTCTCGGAGTAATCCTGGTAAATTTAACCTGCGGCCGCAACCCATGGAAACGAGCCTGTCCGGAGGACGCAACCTTTTTTACCTATTTGAAAAACCCACAGTTTCTAAGGACAATCCTTCCTCTTTCCCTAGAGCTTAATGCCATTTTGAGGCGCATTTTTGAATGTGATCCTCAAAAGAGAATCACAATTCCAGAACTCCGCAAGTTAATCCTGGAATGTCCAAGGTTTACTGTCCGCCCATCGGCCCCAGTCCTCTCTCCATTGGTTACACCACCAACCCAAAGCTTGCAGTGCCTCAAGGAGCCAGTGGAATTTGTACCATTCAACAATTCTTACCCTCCATCTCCACCAGCAGATCTCATCGAACCTCAATATTCCAGCTCCGCAGTTTCCGATACCTCGTTGTCTGATGACGACTCGATTTCCTCCTGCTCCTCGACCGAATCAACCAATAACTTCCAGCACCGATTTGTTCCTGCTGTTATTCCACCCAACTTCTGGGGCTCCTTCATTCCGATCAACCACCCTGGTCAGAAGTTGACCACGCGACATAGGCCACTGGAACAACCTATGTCCATCATCGTTCAATCCTAACACTGGACACCGAAATTACGGCAACGAATCTCCTTTTTTTTATACTTTGGAATATACGTTTTTTTACCAGCTTAATATCATCCGATGGTCCAAAAAATCCCAACGGAGTTTCTCTTCTACGGACGGAGCTTTCAATGTTCTTTCCCACGGTTACAATCTTGGATTTAGTCGAAAAGCCATACCCAGGGAACAACCCCGGAAAACGTTTTTTCGTTTCTGCTCCATTTTTCTTTGCCAGCCAGCGTTTGATGAATTTTCATGGACCTCACTTCTCCATTTCAACACTTGTCTTGATACAATCGCTACTTTCTTTTCCTACCTAATATCTGTTTTTGGAAGCTATTTTTGTCTCAGCCTTCCATTTCGTGTCACTTGTATTACGTTCACAAATACGTCTTGCTTTTTTTTGGGATGAAAATGATGAAATACTGATCTGGCGTTTTGTTTTTTGTTAAAATCCCAAAGGGGATATTTGGTTTGGGGCGTTTTCAAATACTTATTGGGAGGCGGAATACTTTTTTTTGCGTGTACTCGTGCGGGTTCTTTAAGATGCATCTGGAGGCCTACTCATTTTGGTTTTGTTCCCCCTTTTCATCTTCACGTACCAATAGAGGTTTACTTGTGGTGTGTGTTTGTTTCTCGGTCTGTTTTTCTAACGGGGTGATGAATTCTCTATTTCGAAACTGATACCCAGAATTATATATATATATATATATATTCAACCCCCTTTTCTATTTTGGAGCAGGGCTTTGAGAAGAAAAAGGTCCATTCCTGTCTGAGAACAATATATTATGTTTCTCTTCACTTAATGTATATAATGGCAGCCAATACTACTCTTATAGACTGATCACTCTGGCTTTTTGAAGACGCACTGCGGATAAGGGCATCGGTTGTACTTCCAAACGTAGCACAGCCTGCCGGGCGCATCGCGCCCGGATGGAGACAGAGGCTATGATGCCTAACGCCCGTGTGTTATGGGACTTTGGTCCTTCTGTCCGTGTATGGCGATGGCTGACTATTGCTGACCAAACTCGACGCCCGACTGTCTCTTCTCGCAGCCTTGCCCTGTTCTTTTTTTTTTCTTGTCTTCCCTAGCCGGGCGTAAGCTAGTTATACTATGTAGGATTCATGTCTGTTCGCGATTCCTCTATCTCCATTCTCCGTATTCAGACGCAGGGGACCCAAAGTAGTCTATCTCCCTAATGTATGTATGTGCCTATCCTTCACAAGATCTATTTTCAGCTCTTCTTTATCACGACTTAAAGAGTAAAGTCGCCATCTAGGCCTCTTTTTCGTTTGCTTTTTCTTTTTTTTTTCACTTTAGTACATGTCCTGGGTCTGCCATACGGTGTAGCAACTCGGGTCGTCGGGCGCAACCCCTTTGGACGACCCCTTTGGAGACTTGGGGTTTCCATCGAATAACGATGTGCAGGCAGAGAGATAATCCCGCCGTATAACTCAGCTCGTAAAAGAAACTAGTCGAGGCCATGGTTCCATCCTTCACTAGCGACAAGATCGACAAAGTTGATTGACCCCCAGAAATCAAGCCACTTGGGCAACGGCCTGACCTCCCAGTCGACACTTTTCTGACGCAGGCCGATTCCCAAGCATGGCTAACCTAAACGCATCCGATTCACAGTCTATTATTGCCTCGGTTTTGGTCATCCGTGCAATTTCCATTGCAACTAGGCGGGGCGCTGACCCTGTTATTGGTGATTTTGGCTTCGAAGAGAGACTGTGTGTACTATGGGTGCATACATAGTCGCGGGGGCGAAGTTCACTGTCTCTTTTGAGAGCAACTTACATACATCCAGGGCAAAGACAGTCTTCCCGCTGCATGCAGTAAGAGGACCGCCTGATGATGCGCGGGACGCTGCGCCTGTAACATGCATTGAGCAAACGGATAGACGCAAGAAGATGGAGATACTCCGGTGTATCCTCGCCGTTCAGTTGATTTTACCGTTCGTTTCCCTGCATAGTTCAAGACATTCTTTTTATAAGTATATACAGTTGTATGTATGTATATATTTATATTGGGCTGCCGACTCATCGTCCAGCAGACTGCATATATGCGGTTGAAGGGATCACATGGAGTGCAGGAAAAAATCATTCGATGTTTCTGTATTCCCTTGCCAGCCATGTAAGTCGTTAACCAATGGGTGTATACTATGTATGCTGGTAGCAGCAGGGGGGCGCATAAGGGCTGCCGATGCATGTTCTTAATCATCGCTATGAGAGAGCCAGGGGGTCGCGCATAAAGCTCTCTGCTGGCCGCCTGGGAAACAAGCCTGGTCATGGTGCGTGCCGGTTGCCGGTCCCATGTATCTCTATCTGACAATGCATCCAGGCCTTAGCTATGGTGGCTCATTTGTTCAAATCCTTGTCGCCTTTGCAGGGGGAAGGGGGGCCATGGCCGCGGTGCATAATAATGTAGACAGGCTGCATATTATATGGAGTACTTCCGTACGGGTGTTTTTTATATAAGCCCGATAATAATGGAAATACATGACGAATTTGATCGGGGAAAGGGCTTTCCGTCTGCAGTTCAATTAATAACATGCAATATCAAAAAGCTGATATTTCAATATATATGTCTCTATCCGAACGGTCTGAAAAGGAATAGAAAAAAAGGATAGTCGATATTCATGCGCCCCCCCTAGCAAGGCTACTGGGGATTGTGGGAAAAAAACCTCATTCACCTACATAGCAGGAGTTCATAAGGCGATATCTGGAGCCTTCAAAGAAAATCAGTCGAGTCAAGGTTTAAACATCAGAAAACCATGCAGACGCCTTATTATTATCCCAGACTTGCTGGGAGGGTAAACCTATGCGGTTGGAACCCAAATAAGGCTACTATATGTCTTCCGAGGAGCAACTACCGGGTAGAGAGAGCCGTGGATTATAGACAACTTGGCTCGGTGATGTGTACAAGGAAGATGCATAAAGTATGGAGTACTGTATATTTTGTCAATTAAGCTATACAGTGAAGAAAAGGGGGTGCCCTGCTCTATCGGGCAAAGGCTCCCTTTTTTTTACATATTCCTTCCTCCAGTGACCATTATGGTTTGACCATTGACATAGCTAAGCAGCGGGCTACAGACTCCAAGAATAGACCTCGCAGCCTCTGTTGCACTGGCGGCCCGTCGAAGTGGGATATCAGCGTATGCCTCCTGAGACTCTGTGATCTGGGAAGGCAGCTGAGAACCGGGGATGCCGAGAGCAACCTTCTCACCGTCTGGAGTGGTGATGAAGGCGCCAGACTCCTTTGCCTGAGTCAATCGAGTCAGGACAAACCCAAAGGCGATAGTATTAGCTCGCACTCCGAACTTTGGCCCCCATTCTTTGGCAATGGTCTTGGTCAGACCGACCATGCCTGCCTTTCCAACTGCATAGTTTGCTTGACCACTTTTCGAAAAGAAGAATGTTCCGTTAGGTTTTTCGGTTATCAGAGATGTGTATAAGGGTTACTTACGCATTGCCATGAATCCCACTGGTACTGCTAATGTTCACGATTATTCTGGGTTCACCGTCCTTTACACGGAAGTATGGAGCAGCAGCTTGCACGAGCTTGAATGGAGCAGTGGCATGGACAGCAATGATGGTATCCCATTGCTTGTCGGTAAGCTATGTTTTTCTGATAATCAGCACTCGTTGAACATCAAATGGTATAAGATCGGAGACAGCAGCACCTTGTGGATAACTCCGTCCCAAGTGAATCCAGCGTTGTTGACGATGATATGGATCTTGCCGTTTCCGAACTCCGCAGCCTTCTGTACGAGTCTCTTCAAGTACGCGCCGTCCTGAACGTCACCGGCAACGGCAATTGCTCTATTGGGAGATGCATCATTGATAGATTTGGCAACGGCCTCGGCTCTGGCTATATATACGGTATCATATATGAGCTTCTCTTCCTAAGTTCAGGCCTAGGCCATGCCCTGTTCTATATATTTTCGTATGTTTAGAAAAGGTCTTACTGACAGCTGTCGAGGTCAGCAACAACAACTTTAGCACCCTCGTTAGCAAAAAGCCTTGCTGCCTCTGCTCCGATACCTTGACCAGATCCAGTTATAATGGCCACTTGGCCTGCAAGCATGCCTTGGGGGTAGTTGAGGTGCGAAGAGACCTGGGCCAAACGTTCTTGGGGAGCCATTGCGACTGTTTCCTGTTAGGAATAGAGCTGGGATATACAGTTGGAGTATAATATGTATAACGAATAAGACGGCGTATAAGATGTAAACAAGAGATGGAGTCGTAGTTTTGGGGCTGGAAGAACTTTTATGCCAAGGCGGAAGCCGAGGTCCAAACCTGCGACTGGACCGAAATACCCGAAATGCCGAAAGGAGGCGTAGCAAGTGCATAACTACAAAGAAAGGGACATGAAAGAAAATGGTCGGTAGTAATAATACTGATAATTAGATACGTTGTCTACCTTAAAATACACGATAGCTCTTTAGCACCCGGCAGCCATGCTATGTCGATAATCGAACGCCTTTAGGAGGCCAGTTAGGTGGGCGCCAGCAGCAAGGACGACAAGGACGTGGAATATCTGGTGTGAATGCCCAACAATATCGTACTTGCCGGGATGCAAGCACTCGGGGACTCTAGCTGCATAGATTGACGCACCGAGGATATAAAGCGCTCCCTGAGTGATCAACCAGTCCAGTCCGATCTGCTGGCGCGCCTGGTTGAATCCAAGCACCACTACGCCGTGAGTAACAGGGAATATCGCAGAGAGGCCCAAGGCAACAAACATAGCAGCTCGGAACGGCCTCAACGCCGGTGCCCGGAAGCGGGGGACCGTCGCCACTGCGGCACATCCTGCTCCAAGAACCACAATCATACCCCAATACAGTCTCTGGAGCTGGGGCATGCAGTAGAACCCATAGTAGATGCTTGGAATGAAGCTGCCGGTTATCAGGCCTATGATACCAAGGTAGTCGCATGCATTGCCAATGTAAGCAACCCATGGCGAGTGGTTTGATATCGTGTGATATAGGGCACTCATCCCGAGGCAAAATGCCGCACCAGCGAAGAAACAGCTGAGCACAACGATATCTCCCGGGTCTGCAGTGTGGTAACGCGGTGAGAGGGCTTGATATAGGATGATGGATATAGGAATAGTAAGGAGAGCCGGGAGCAGGTGAGTGTAGATGTTGACAGTCTCATTGTGGATATAGGTCAGAGAATGGAAGCTTCTCACAAACGAAGCTGATGCTGGCCTGTAGCCAGTGTGAATGTGATGATTATCCTGCAGCCAGAGAGGCAGAGCATCCCAGTGGACTGTTGTTGTCCAGCTCTCTTCCACTGTCTTCTTGATAACTCCTGAGGCTTCCTCTCCATCCTTCTCATATAGTATGTTGTGAGCGGTAGTAACTGCGCGACGCTGGAAAACTGTCATGTCGCCTCCCTTCTTTTCTTGTTTCTTCTTCTCTTCTGTACCCCTCCCTCTCTCTGGATGTAGTCAATATCACTGTCCTAGGTGTGCTGGTTTTTTATTGTATCTCAACATCTTTTCTCAACATCTTATCAACACGTGAGAAATTGCAAACAGTGCAAACTGGCGGCTTGCGGAAGGTCTTCATGGCGGAGGGAGAAAGTTGATGGTAAGAAGAACAGAAAGGAGAGACGGAGCTGCGACTTGTGCAGCGGGTTGCATCCGAGTGATGCTTTGAAGGGCATCCCTTGATCCTACCTGGGACTGGTTGGCTCGAGTGCTCACTCTGTCTCTGTAGGCATGGCGAGTGCGCCGCAATCAACAAAGTCCTCGCCGACTAAAGGTCGACAGAGACCGCCGATACAGGATCCATTGGAGCAGGCAGGGTTTGTTTCGAAAGGAGATGTCAAGTAAGTTAGCCCTGGGATTGGCTGATCTGTTTCTGTCTAGCTAACTATTTTTCTGTGCATAAAAAGGCTGCTCGATCCAAAGGCACAACAGCTGTACTATGAGAAAATCATGGAGAGATACATGAAGTTTTGTAACGACTATTCAAATGATGTTGATGCAGCCTTTGCTTCGCTCCCTAAAAATAGATCCGACGATTCGACCAGGAATCCGCCAGTGCCCAATGCCCCTGTCGCCATTAGAGATCCCTCGTCACGTCATGCTGCACCGGCTGCACCCACACAAAACAAGTTTGTTCGACCCGAGAACCTGACCGATTCGGCAGCGAAGGACCTTTCGGTATTGCTACTCTCGCTCCGGAAACTGCGAGAAGGCGTGATTGCAACCGCGTCCAAGACTCCCGTGGCGTTTGCACAGCAGGTTCACATATTCTGCATTCGAACCGGAATTCTGGCAGGCCACCCTCCATCCTATTATCCTCCATTGAAGCGTTTGCTGCAGGTCCTCCACGGACCCTCGAATCCCCTGAGTGAACCGGATTTGCACGAGTTTACCTCCTACCTAATTTTAGACTATGCCTGCCGGCAAAATGAGCTTCATCTTGCATTTGATCTCCGTGCAAAGTCCAAGGCCGATTTCGGATTTAACAATACTACCATCAACAATGTCCTCTCTGCCTTGATGCATGACAACTGGGTCCTTTTTTGGAAATCTGGAAGGGGTGTGGATGGGTATACGAGATCACTGATGAGTTGGGCTGAAGGCTTTGTGCGCAGGAGAGCTCTCAAGGCTATCGCTAGAGCTTATCTCTCAGTGGACCTGAGCTATATTATTGAATGTTGCACGGGCTCAGAAGACGGCTGCACATGGGAGGAATTGGTTGAACAGGAAGGCATGGGCTGGAAATTAGAGGGCAACAAGGTGATAATACGGATAAGGAAACCCGCGGCCAAGGCAAAGTGAACAGCAACCCGCTCATTCATTGTGTATGATGGCGTCCAATGGCCTTCATAAGTGGCGGTAGTTATCAACCAAAAATGACGGCTGCCTCGTGTAAAGGCGATAGATTAGGATTGAAGGTATGACAGTTCCAACTCTATACACGAGAGAGACGGCTATCCGATTCAGGGTATTGAGCTAATGCACGCAATCAGAGCTTTTTAAAATATGACAGACGAAAAAGCTCCGCCTAGAGGTCTAGATCTTAAAATGGCTGTTTGGTAATTCCCAGTTGTGGTGCTCCGATTGGGGGTGCCGAGATACCCGTTCCGCCAATGCTACCTTGAGAGCCCCCGAATTTTCCGAGCAAAGTTCATATACGGTCGCTAAATTAAAAGTAAGGCTTTGGAAAGAACTGTGGTTGTTGATGAGTGACTCCAGGATCTCGCGTGACTTCGGAGTCAAAGAATTAGCCTTCCTCTCAGCAGTGTTAAAAAAAGAGAGAAGAAAAAGAAAAAGGAAAAAGAAAAATACAAATAGATATCATAAAAGTTCAGCCTTACCTGTTTTAAGTTTCCAATATACAAAAGGCAGACCGCAAGGTTTTGTTTGATAAGAACCTCATCATCCGTCCCAGAGTAGGTTTTGAGGATGTCGTTCCAACCAGCAACAGCGTCATCAAATTTACCCTCTGCCATTTTTAAAAGTGGATCGAGAATGCTGGTCGATAAGCTAGGCATCCCAGAAAGTAGATCCTTCGCTGAATCTATATCTCCGATTCTAAGGTGTAAAAGAGCTCGCTGGTGAAGTCCCCGAATGTCACCATTAGCCGGGGGAGTCATACTAGCCAGGAATCGCCGAGCAGCTTCCAAATCACCCATTTCAACCAAAGCATTAACGACACGGATACCTAAATCAGTTAACCTCGCTTTCCACATTTCCTTTTCTTCAAGTCCGACATCAGGGCGTATGGCATGCCTCCTGGCTTCTAATCCAAGTTCGTAGAGGCCGGATATACCCCGTCTGGCATCACTAAACCCAATGCTCTGTAGTCTTACGGCAATAACCCGGAGTGGCCACGGAGCCAGGTGTGTTTTCTCTGGGTGTTCCCCAGAGTTATCATCCTCCTTTGGAAGATCAGATTTAGTGTCTACATAGTAGAATGCTGAATTTAAATCTTCCAAAGCCTTTGATTCCTGTGCGGCTAAGATGGTATTCCCTGTAAGCTGGAGGCAAGTAAGGCGAGTATATAGGAGCGAAAATATCGTGGAATAATCATTTGAAGCTATCAACTTGGAGGTCAAAACCGTAGCAGCAAAATGTGCTGCCGGTAGGAAGTGGCCATTTTTGGTTAGGTCGTTGAGCTGGAGTAGTGCTGAATCTAATGACTGGCCTGGGAGAAGACTTGGGAACTCCGAGCGGAATGGAGAGGGTATTTCTAATTGCGAGAGTGGGTGAAATATCTCAGGTCGGAGCAGGAAAGAAAAGTTCTGGTTCACCTGGATATGGGGATTATCCCTTGGTGCTGCAACTGAATCCTTAACAGGGTGGAATGGCAAGGCGGCGCTTCTGGAGTCCAGTTTGCCTGAGGGAGCGGCCAAAGTTGCAGAGGGGGTATCTAGTCTAGAATAAAATAGTTAGAAAAGAAATTAACCAGATCATATAGAAGAGACAATTCATACTCATCTGTGATATCCAAAGGCCCCTTTGTTGAGCTGCGAGGCCGGGTAGCTGGGATACAATGTCAGTCCGTCACTGCTTTGGATAGAACAAGCTGATTGCTCACACCTTTTACAGACACATTCCGCCGATGCTGTGAGCCAGAGGGCTCCATGATAGACAAACACACACAAACAAAATACACACACTCTTTTTTTCTATAATCTTTTTCTCTTTTCTTGCCTGCTGCAGTGTATGTTCAGCCTCCTTTTCAAACTCCCAGAAAAAAGTGCAAAGTTATGGAAAGCTTTGATAGCAAGAGGGTTTCTGCCAGGCGGTGAGTGCACGGACCACGTGAGCCCCTGATTACTTCATCACTTTTTTATTTTTTGGAGAAAAAGACATCAAAGTAGCCAGCAATCAACAAGCTAGAGGAGACTTTGAAGAAGATCTGGCCTTGTTCTCTGCTCTCATCTCCTGTTGTCTCTTTTCTTGCCGTCTCTGATAGCGCATTAGTGAGTTCCGCATGCCCGGCCGGGGCCCTCGATATAGACCAACCCTACAAGCCGTGGACCAAGACGCTGAATCGCAGTTCGACCAGACGCCAATTCCGTCGCATTTAAAGATGGCACCCGCAAACAAATATTCCGTTATTCTCCCTACATATAACGAGCGCAGGAACCTTCCAATCATCGTTTGGTTGATTGAGAAGACATTCCGTGAGAAGTGGGTGTTGAAAATCTCCTTTGCTGCTTCCCCCCTCCACCTGGTCTAGCCCCTCTAGCCCATTGCACCAACACACCACGTTATTTTGATATACTGACGAGAAATTTTTACAATTGTATAGTAAACTTAACTGGGAGGTCATTATAGTCGACGATGGCTCCCCTGATGGCACTCTTGAAGTCGCAAAGCAGCTTCAAGCCGCCTACGGCGCGCAACACATAGTCTTGAAACCCCGTGAAGGCAAACTCGGTCTTGGAACTGCGTACGTTCACGGCCTCAAATTCGCTACTGGAAACTTCATCATCATCATGGACGCGGATTTCAGTCACCACCCGAAGTTTATTCCCGAGATGATCAAGATTCAGGAGAGTACCAAGGCGGATATCGTTACTGGAACCCGATATGCGTCTCGTGGAAACTTGCGGGGCGGTGTATATGGATGGGATTTGATCCGAAAACTCACATCTCGTGGGGCAAACTTGATCGCTGATGTCGCATTGATGCCAGGCGTGAGCGACTTGACCGGTAGTTTCCGCCTGTACAAGAAACCAGTTCTTGAGAAAGTCATCAAGGTCACTGAGAGCAAGGGATACACCTTCCAGATGGAAATGATGGTTCGTGCGAAGGCAATGGGATACAAGGTCGAAGAATGCCCTATTACCTTTGTCGACCGTGTTTACGGTGAGAGTAAGCTCGGCGGTGAGGAAATCGTCGAGTATCTCAAGGGTGTCTTTACGCTGTGGCTAAAGGTTTAACGCAACTGAGATGACCTATTCATTTCCTTTTCTCTTCCATTGGCTCATTTTCCTTTGTGTACGGCGAAATATGGGGCATACATATGAGGATCAGGTTACAAGCACAATTATCAATCGGGGAATGTTTTCCTTTTTTCTTACAATGAGGTTTTTGCCTGACATGTTTTTAAATGGTTTTAGTGTCTGCTTTACTATTTCGAAATAGAATACCCAGGAAAGCAGATTTAAACAGCTATAATAACAGCCATGGGGTACATTAATTTCCAAAATTTGGGGTTCTAGTATTTTCTAAGATGTTTAGGAGTAAAAGAAAAGGATAGACACTAAGGTCTCTCAAGGCTGGTGAGGAACTTTTGAACCCTTGATAGCAAGTCTTGTAAAGGTTCAACTTGCCATTTACCCTGGGGAGAATGCCTTGCTCCAGGGACAACGCCGCTATTATCATCCCAAATGGTAGGATTGTCACTACCTGCCTTAGTAGCGTTTTTCCATCTCTTTAGCAAACTCTCCATGTCCACCCATTCTGGAATATACTCATCAGAACCTCCAGGTAAAACAAGGATTGATTTCCTTAACCGGCCACTTTTCCCAATCATACCAAAAGTCTGTTCTAATCGTTTATCTTCAAGATCAGAGCTAAAAAGATCGTCCTCGAGCGGCGATTCCGGGCTGTCTGGGCTGGTTAAGCTCAAGAATCGCTTGCTGCTAACGGGAACGTCCGATGGGAAGCCGATGCGTGACGTCAACGCGATGGGTAAGATATAACCATTGTCTTTTTCATTTAGATTGGACTTTGCAACATCGACCAACTCATAAAATATTTCGCTTACAACCTCCGCAGAGTCTTTAGTGGTTCCCGTCTCGAGCATAGATAGGGTAGATTCCCGATCAGAGACTGGTGCTTGGAGAATAGCACCATCCACCGCCGGCCTTGTCTGCTCCGGAATGCGGGAATAGAGATAATGAAGAACATCTTGGCTCCCAGTTGAATGTCCCATTATTACAATCTTACCAGGTTCCCCTGATGTCGATAGGTCCCGGTTCTCCCGCATTTTAAGGGCCTGGACATATTCCACACACCGCGCAAGTTCTTCCACGTCCTTATCAAGGCTGCTCATCCCCCATCCAGTATAAGACGATGAGAGTTGGACAAAGAAAACTGACCAATTTGTCGATTCGAGGGATCCAGCCAAATCATTCATAAACGGTACAGTGCACAAACCGTCCGAAAGCCCCGCAATAAGAAGCAATGCATGGGGTTTTGCCTTGTTCGCTGTAGGCGATGCGTACTCAAAAGCGTTTAGACCTGCTGACTGATATTCTTCTTAGTTTGCTTCTTGGACCTTGGTATGAGGACAATTTATTGAAGTGTGAGGTTTGTCATACATATCGATGAAGAACACCAGCCCTTACAGCTGGAGGGGATTCCGGATCCATGCTTTCGATAATTTATCCCTTAGTAGTGGATAATTCCCTAAGTGTCTTATTCCCACAATGAAAAGCTTCTATTAAGTGCCATAAGAACTCTTTAGATGGCGATGTTATCTGCTATCTTGGGTGGCATAAGTGGGATGTTTGGCGATTGAGGCCGTAACTATACGGAAGTTCCGATAACCTTAAGTTAAAAGCGGAGACTTTCCCGATCGGAAAGTTTAAATTGGTATGTATATTGACTGTTGATTTATAGGGCAGAATGTTGATGGGTAATAAGTGGAGGAAAGGTAGGGAAATAACTCTCTGGTCGGTATATAGTATATACTGCGTGAGTGCAGCACCTGTGGGCCCTGATATTCTTTTGTTACGCACGAACAGGACTAATTGAGAATAACGCACCGCGAAATAGGACGGTAAATTGTCAAATTACTGGTGGGCTAAATCTTCCACACGAAGCAAACCACTCCCCATCCCAGCACATGCCCACCCGGCGCACGGTGCATTTGGGTTCCAAGCAACAGCTGTCACAGCTGTTTGTTCTTCGTATATAACCATTACGGCAGCCTGGCCTGTTGCCTTCTCCTGTGTTGAGGAGCCCTTGGATAGGTTAACCGTTTCTGCCTTGAACCCGTCATAGAACTTGACTACACCCCCTGGAGTGGTGCTATTATTGTCTTTCCCGTTGATCCACTCTTGTGAAAACCAATTCTGCTGCCACTGTTTCTCTTTGGAGTGTATCAACTTTCGTAGCGGATTATTAGAAATCACTGTTCCGCCTGCATTTCCTGCGAGGATACAGGGGTGATGTAAGCTAGCCGTTGCTAGGGCAGTGACAATGCTGCGAGATTTGAGCGCAGCGAAACTTGAAAAGAAGCGGCGAAGAGGAAGAAGGCGAACAAAGTCGCCTTCATCATTGGTTATGAAGCAACGCAAAAACGGGGAGTAGATAAGGCACTGTGTTCCTACTCTTAACCGGAGGGCGTCTACTATCTCTGCCGCCGGATCTTGAAGGGAAACCAATCGCGTCTGACCGCCCATGGAGGTTGCCGCAATGATATGTGGATGTGTCGGGTAAGCTGAAACAATATTAAGTATATATGTGTCATGGACTGGGATGTATAAATAAGGCTCAGCGTTCGGAGGCGATTCGTCTCGAGCTGACTGGACTAAATTCCACAGGCCAATGAACCCATTTGCACATCCGATAGCTAGATCAGTTGGCGACAACCATGTAAGGCAAGTGCAAACAGTTGAAGGAGGCCTGACTTGAAATGCTGGGTTTTTCAAACTAACTAAAGGTATATTTTAGCCATAGCTCAGGGAAAAAATATACCTCACGGCTTACATACCATACTTAGTGCCAGTGTCACTGCTGCACAAGTCAACATTAAAGACCTTGACAGAGCCATCGCTCCAAAGCCCTGCCAAAAGGGCAGGCTTCACGGGTTCATTGATATTTCTATCTTCCGAATCCCTGTTTACGGCAATGGGGCACCAGTAAAGGCGGTTTATATTGCCAAATGCTGTGCATATGACCATATGTAGACGCGGCTTTGTATCCATGTCCAGCTTTCGAAGTCCATTTACGGTATCACTGGCTTCGAACCGCCAGATTTGGATTGCTGAAGGATATGGTGCTGAAGGAGTGAACGCGGGAGCACCTTTGATACTTCCATCATCAAACTGTGCCTTCTGGTTGTCAAGTATAGGAGCTACTATGGCTAGGTACTGGGAGCTTCCATAACAATTTGGGGCCCAGCTGACGCATTGAATTCGATTCCCGAGGTTCAAAATCCAGCCCTCTCGTGCCCTAACTCGATTAGGTACGGCTGATGCCCCTTGGTTTGGGCTGGAACCAAACGATTTGTTCCGCTCTTTCTTGACGGGAATAGGCCCCATCGAAGGCCATGCAGAAGAGAAGTCAAACGATTCGCCGCGCCCTATTGAGTACGTAGTCTGTGCATCAGATGGGCCCATCAATACAGTTAGCTTTGGCACCTCATGGCTGGGTAAATATGTATTAGCTGCTTCCTCGGTAATAGGTAGTATCAGTTGCTTCTCACGAAACCGGGCTCCTATATCACTATAGTACCAATCCCAGCCTGCAGTAGACTCGCGAGTATTCATCTCCCTGTCGACACCAAATATATCCTTATTCCCATGTGAATTCCATATATTGCACTTCTGAAGGCTTTCTCTGCTTGGAAAAGTCAAATCTAAACTTCCCGACCAAATATCTCTAGTATGGATTATAGGCAGTATGTCTTGATCCCCAGATCCAAACGTTAGTCTCAACTGAAGAGTTTTAGAGGAACGACTTGACGGCTTTAGAAGGCCACGTGAATAAGTCTGCGTGTTCAGCTGATCAGACTTTTGTGCTGGTACGTATTTTGTCCGTTAGCAGTGGATCTAAGAGCAGAACCGGAGCCGACATTAAGGATTAACATTTATAGGCCGGTTCGCTAGGAATCCCATCAACATGGTATATCAGCATTTGTGACCTACATCGATCTAGGTTCCCCACTGACTCCTTCTGCGGTATGTTGGCGCCATCTTCTGCCTCATACTCGTCCTCAGATATTTCAGATGTTGGAGATTGTGCAACTGGTCCATCTTCATAGTCAGAGTCTAGTCTAGCACTTGTGCTGTCTATTTCAGCAGTGGCAACCTGTTCTCTAGGTGCAGTCATGCCTTGGTCTGGGTATCATGTATTCCTTCTCCCGCACCAAAAAAAAAAAGGTCGTGGTAAGTAACCTATCCGAGGAAGAATAGTACCATAGGCAGAGATTATGTCTCCATGAGGCCCAAATGGTTGTTCAAAGGAGTTGACAAAACTTTCATCCCCTTTCTGTCCAATCAACTGCACCGTTTAACCATTACGTAATCGCATCAGCCATGTATCTACATAGTAGAGCCCTTCGAATCCGTAACTAAATCACCAAATGAATAATCTACGACGGAATATTTTTATATAGTATAGCATCAAATCATCTTATTAACATGTCTATAGTTCACATTAGTAGTATCATGGCTGGCGCACCGTATTCTAATACATTCAAGGCCCAAAAACACAATTTATTAATTCCAGAAAAACTCCAACCAATGCATGTATGTAGCAATCATAAACGCTTCAACGGTCAGTACTGTTGAAAATTAGTATCATACCCGCATAACTAATACCACTGTACAATCATCGCCGGCACTAAGCTCCTAAATTGACCTCTCAATCTTTCGAGGTGAAGCTGGAAGTTCACGGGCCAACACGGGGGGTGAGCAACGGCATGTAAAACGTCATAGATGTAGACAGTGTTGGGCTGATGACTGAGTCTGTTGGAAGAGACATATGAGAGGACACTGGCGGAAGTGTCATTGTAGGTGCAGTAGGAAATCGGGTTGGGGTGGATGTATGCCTTGTAGATGTGGTGTGGGTTGTAGTTGTTGGACTGCTCGTAGAGGCCGAGGTTGTTGTAGTGGCCTGATGTGATGAGGTGGTAGGCATTGAGGTTGGTGTGCTTGAACTTGATGCGCTTGAAATGGATGTTTTTGGCGTAGACGTCGACGTGCTTGATGCCGGCGAGCTCGTTATTGTGGGTTTCGATATTGTTGGCAAGGGCGAGCTATAAGAAGTCGTCGAAGTCACAGTTGTAGTTGTAGTTGTCGACACGGGGGGCTGTATCGTCTTGGTGATCGTTGCCGTATGGGTAACTGGTGGCAGCGTAGGCCCAGGTTTATCAACGGTGACTGTGGCATGCACATCCGTCGTCGGCGTCTCAGGCCCTCCATCGACCTGAATAACAGAATAAGGCACTGCCCGGGGCAGGTGTGATATCAAGGGAAGAGAACTCGACAGGTGGGCGAAGAGTGCAGTCGACAGCAAGACATTATTGAACCTGAGTAGCATTTTTACAGAGGTCCTTAATCGGGTGGTAGGTGAAACCTATGAAGCTACGCTTCTGTACTTCGGAGAAAGCTGATATGGGAAGATGTATATTTATATTCAGCCGGTTTTCCTTAAACAGCTTGCCGGACACCGTTATGAGGAGCCCCTTGTAAACAGGAAACAATGACAGAAATCATGGATAGAGGGAAGCATCAAAACAGGTATCATTTCATTTCTCTTTTTGTGTGGATGGGGAATTCTGAGGGTCCTAGGTTATGTACTCCGTACATTTGGGCCGTGAAGAAATGCGGTGGTTGGGAATCCCAGCCACCGGCTTTCTCCAACCACTACTGGAGTCTTCCGGTTGTAAGATGTAACTTCATTTCTCTCCGGCGAATAAAAGAATATAGAGGGGCAGAGCCCTACTCCATCGTGCGGGTGATTCCATGGTGCCCCCCATCAGTCCTTCGCCTACTCCAAAGCGGCTTTGAAGATGTTTGTTTGATTTACCTTTTCAGCGTGGAAGTTCATGGGGTAAAAGCGGCGGGTTAAATCTGGGGCTATATATGACTAAGCTAAAGTAGCATTGAGATACTTCCTCTTCTGAGCTAGCGCCAGTGTGACTCTTTTGGGACTAGTGTTGTTTAGCTCATTTTGAGGCAAGAAAGTCCAAACTCGGCTTTTTGGTAGATTGTTTCGACGACAGGCGGCGTGTTTGATGTAGACTTGAGCATTGTCTCTTGTTGGCATTGAAACTGTGATTTCTATCAGATTGCACCTCATCCTTTAGTTTGTTACGACAGCACACCTTTGCGCACTTCACACCGGATCCACGGAGTAGACCTACTGCGGCCACGATGGCCAGTGCCCCCCATGTCCCGGAGGACCAGAGCCGCCTCCTCGAAGAGGCCCTGGGGGTGGTACGACAGCAATCGCATATGATGCGAAGATGTTTAGAAACTCCAGGAAAGCTGATGGATGCATTGAAATGCGGGTGAGTCCAGGAAAGCAGGCTGCCTCTATACTAGGCTGCCGCAATATTGGCTCCATATGGATACGTGCATACCTCTTCGAATATTATACAGTTGCTAACATAGCTTCATTAATATCGATGGCAGATCTACATTGGTAGCCGAACTTCGAACTCCCACATTGGGACCAAAGCAATACTACGAATTGTACATGTCGGTATTTGATGCGCTTCGTCACCTATCAGACTACCTTCGAGAGTCTCATCCGGTGAACCACCTGGCAGATTTATATGAGCTAGTACAGTATGCGGGAAACATTGTTCCCCGGCTCTACCTTATGATTACTGTCGGCACAGTGTACATGTCCATTCCGGATGCTCCAGTGAAGGAAATCATGAAGGACATGATGGAAATGAGCAGGGGTGTACAACACCCAATCCGCGGGCTATTTTTGAGATACTATCTCTCTGGCCAGGCGCGAGATCACTTACCCATGGGATCTGGTGATGGGCCACAAGGCAACTTGCAAGATTCGACCAATTTCGTTCTAACCAATTTTGTGGAAATGAACAAGCTATGGGTGCGGTTACAGCATCAGGGCCACTCAAGGGAACGAGAGAAGCGAACACAAGAGAGGAAAGAACTAGAGCTTCTTGTTGGAAGCAACCTTGTTCGTTTAAGCCAGCTGGTTGACCTTGAGTCGTACAAATCGGTTATATTGCAACCCCTTTTAGAGCAGGTGGTTCAATGCCGAGATGTGCTTGCGCAGGAGTATTTGCTGGAAGGTAAGTTTGGATATTGTCTAATTATGCAGAACTTTAGTCGCTAATCTCTTGTAGTGATAACAAAGGTATTCCCAGATGAATACCATCTACATACTTTGGACTCAATGTTGTCTGCTATTGCAAGACTGAATCCCCATGTCGACATGAAGAAAATTGTGATTGGCCTCATGGATAGGCTCTCGACTTATGCAACCCGTGGGTCGGAAAAGAGTGATGACCCGGAAGTAAGGAGGAAGGCGGAAGAGGAGGCAACAGTAAGATTATTGGAAAACCTCCAGCTTTCGAAACAAAGAGGCACGACAGCCACAGCCTCGGATGAGCAGAAGCCGGGGAAGTAAGGAGAATGGTAATTCACAGTCGGAAAGATATTAATACGAAAAGGTCTGATGATGAGAAGCTACTGCTAAATCTACAGAAGCAAATGCTACAAATGACCAGCAAGAAGACCATGAGTCAACATCGGCCCTTCCTGGGAATGTTAAGCTCTATGAAATCTTCTACGATCAAGTACTTAATCTGGTGAAGACTCGTGGAATTCCCATTCAAGATACTATTGCACTTTTAGTTTCATTGACAAATCTTGCTTTGTGAGTCAAACTTCACTATCTACTCAACCCTAGTAATGCTGACAGTATATAGGAACATATATCCGGACCGACTAGGTATTCTCTATTGTCACTAGCCCTACCTCTCGAAATAAGATGCTAACTAGCAGAAGAATACGTTGATCAAGTGCTACAATATGCTACGAAGACTGCAACTGAACACTATGACAGCGCGGACTTCCATTCCGCACCAGCCCAATCCAGCATATTAAACCTTTTACTCGCCCCCCTCCAGTCGTATGTTTCTATATTTACGGCACTATCGCTTCCAAATTATATTCCATTCTTTGCTGCGCAGTCCTACTCAACCCGCAGAGCAGTTGCGGGTGAAGTTGCACGGAATATCATGCGAAACAAAATATTAATCACTTCCCCTGAGAATCTTGATAATGTCCTCCAAATTCTACGAGTTTTGATCAGGGAAGGAATGCAGCAGCCTGGTGGGTATCCGGGTGCCCAATCTCAACGACGCGGCGGGGAAACAGAGGAGACAATCGAAGAGCAAGGGTGGCTTGCGCGAATAGTACATTTGGTTCAAGGGCCAGACAATGATACACAACTCCAGGTACGACATATTCTTTGGC